ACACTGGGCACATGTGGGTGGCACACCCAACATCCTAATAGGATACAGAAATGGCAGAAAAAGGACTGCAGTGTGACCATGCCCACTATGTGCTTTCCCTCTCTGTCTAGCGAACACATGCACCTCTGGCAATTAACAAAGTTTGACTCTCACAGTACCAGAAAGGAACTGGGAATGGAGAGAGATTCAGGGAGAATTTCACCTAAATCTGTAACATTTAGTCTTCAATTATCTAAATTTGGGGCTGGTGGGTAGCATGGTGGTTAAGGGCACTGGACTCCCACATGGTTGACCATGATTCAAGTCCCAGACCTGGAGGCTTGCATTCTCTCTCTCACTCACTCACTCACCCTCACTCTGTCCTTCTCTGGTCAAATAAAAATTAATTAATAAAAAAAAAATACCTCCATTAAATCTTAAAAAAAAAAAACTGTAAATTCCAAGTAACGGACACATGGGTGTTTCTTATCTTATTACCTATACTTTTTAGATGGTCATAATAAAAGCAAAATAAAAAGGTAATACGGTATGGGCAATGATAAAATACCTATAGTTATCTTTTTAAATGCAATTCTTTAACTTTGTGATTGACAAAAAACCTATATAGTAAACAACCTTGAGGAAAAATAGGGTATAAAGATAGTTTAAAATTGGATGGCTTATAAGATTTATTTATTTATTTGTTGTAGGTTTTTGCCATAAGACGCTTACACTAGCCAGAGACAAAGAGACACTGAGAGAGAAAGTGAGAAATTACCCCCCAGAGGGGATGGCCACGCTGCAATCCATTCTCCATTCTCCTCCTGGGATTTTGGTCACGCATTCCCACACACCCAGAGTAATTTTCAATCTGCTGGGTCCAGGACTCAAACTGTTGTCAGCAACGTGGGAGTCCAGTGCCGTAACCACTTTGCTACCTGTTGGCACCAGACATTTCTAATTTCTAACAAAGCTCTCTGAACCCTCAGTTCCTCATCAACACATGGGAATAGCAAGCCTACTCATGTCAAGTTATTCTGAAAACAAAATGAGATCTAGAAAGAGAAGTACTTAAAGCATGGTATACAGTGAGCACTCGGTATCTGTTTCTTCCTTATTTATCCTTGAATTTTTGTTTTTTTATCAATACCATTCCTTTTGATCTGCCTTTTTCAGAGTTACTACTGGTTTCAAAAATCACATTCAAACTGGTGCAAGATCAGTTACACTACAGATTTTTTTTTTTTTAATATCCAACTCTTTTTTTGTTTGTGTTTTTTAGGCTTTTGTCATAGGGTGCATAGGCTTACCACAGACAGAGACAGAGACAGAGAGAGGTAAAGTGAGAAATCACTCCCCAGGGAGACAGCCACACCACAATCACCTCTCCACCTCTCTTCCATTCTCCTCCTGGGATGCTGGGCATTCATGTACACACACCTAGCATGACTCTCAAGGTGCCAGGTCCAGGACTCAAACCGTGGTCAGCCATGTGAGAACCAAGCACCTCAACCACCACGCCACCTGCTTGCTGGCCCCTATACCCAACTCTTAACCTAGTTGGAAAACATGGCAAATTATTTTGTTCTACCTTCTGAGTTAGTAGATAAATAATGCAAACTCACTTAGAAACTTTTTTTGTTCAGATTTTTTCTTTATTCATGATAGAGCATAAGCTCACACAAAAGAGAGATAAGCACCCTCCACAGTGTCTAGTCACGCAATCCCCTTCCACCAGTCCCCTAGCCTATAGAATCTTGACCACTCCCAGTTTGTTTCAGGCTGACCAGGCTGAGGATTCCAACCGTGATTACCAAGTAAGATCCAGCTTCTCCTGAGCAGCACGTTACTACTACACCATAGAACCGGCCCCTGAAAACTGTTTTAAAAGTGTTTTGGCAGGGACCAGCAGATGGCATAATGGTTATGTCACTGGACTCCCATGTAGTCAACTGCAATTCGAGTCCCGGACCTGGTGTCCTGAAATTCACGCCAGGTGCATGTGTGGGCATGCATGTGTGCGTGCATGCCCAAAATCCCAAGAGGAGAATGGAGGAGTAAGGACTGCAGCGTGGCCATCCCCCCAGGGGGTGATTTCTCACATTCTGTTTATCTTCTCTCTCTCTCTCTCTCTCTCTCTCTCTCTCTCTCTCTCTCCAGCAAGCGCACATGCCCTACAGCGAAAATCTCTGTAACAAAATAAAAAGTGTTTTGGCATACCTTAGACATAGCTGTGTTAGAAGTAGCACATTAAAGAGGCAAATAAATGTATATAATTAAGAAATAAAAAATGAGAGCAGGACTGTATAATATATGTCAAATGAAGGATCTCTTTGAAAAACCCTCTGGGCAATCCCCCAGAGAGAAGGATTTTTCTATGAACACTCTCTATAGGAAGATTTAACACTGCAATCTGGAACTAGACGATTTTGCTGTACCTCAGGCCCATAATTCCCCAGCTGAACAGGTGGTCCCAGGTTGTTAATATCGTCTGCAGAACCTAGTTTCTGCTGAGCCTGCTATTTTGTCTCTGCTTTTGTCATAATTTTGAAATACTAAAGCTCTCTGCAGCAGAATCCTCCTCCAATCACAACTGTAAGAAATAATTTTCCATGATTTGATATCTCCCTGAGCCTAGAGACCATCCTTGAAATGTTTGCTCTGTCCCCTTCCTAAGTACACATCATGACTCATCTGGAAAAAGGGAACTTCAGAAATCTAGAGTAAGCCAATCAGAAGACCTTTGACTTTCCTAGCAGTCTCTATCTGAGAGCCACAGTGACCCATGGTATTTGCAAGCATAAGGTCAATGTTGGTTGGTCAGTTTTCCAGCTGTACTCAATGTTATCCACTGGCCACAGTTAACTGGTAACTGGGAATTGCCATTATCCACAGGTCAGATAACTCAGCTGTTGCACCTGCTCTTAGATGGTACAGTCACACCCTACTCTAAACTTTCACAGCTCTCTGTACAGATCTTTAGTGAAGCTCTAACTATGCTATATTTTAACCATTAAGTATAAATGTCTCCTACCCACTACACATCATTCACTTCCTGCAAGCAGAAGCCACGCTGTATTTTTCTTTGTATGCCAAGTAATAAGGCATTGATTAGTACATAGTAAAGGAGGGAGGGAAGAGAACAACTTGAGTCTTTTTTCTTTTTAAGATTTTTGCCATAGGGTGCCTGCATTCCCAGAGAAAGACAAGAGAGGGAAAGAAAGAAATCACTCCCCGAGGGAGAGGGGGACAGCCACACTGCAATCCCTTTTCCTTTATTCTTCCCTCAGGATTTTAGGTGCACACACATAAACACACACACACACACCCCTGGCTGTGTTTTTCAAGCCACCAGTCCAGGACTCGAACCATGGAGTCTACCATATGGGACCTATTGCCTTAACCACTATACCTACTGCTGGCACAAGAACAACTCAAGTCTTAACCAGGTCTCTATAAGGTTAAAGTATACTAGAATAGTAGAACAAAGTGGTTCTCAAACTTTGTCACTGAAATAAACCATCTCTGCCAACTTATCCTTACCAAAAATGAAACCTCACCTGAACAGAACTGTTTCTGAGACAATATCAAAAGCAAGGATTTATATAACATTTAAGTAATTGATTCATTCAAGGCAGAAAATGAAATACAGTCATTGTCACACTATTACATGCATTTTGCACATAGCTGCCCTAAGTCTTGTGTTAGATTTCTGCTAATTAGTATAGCTTCCCAAGTAGTGATAGAAAGAGGTCCAGCCTGGGATATTCTTCTCTCAGATAGGATATATTTCCTAGGGTTCTCTCTTCTCTACCACCAGTTAACGGCAACATTAAGTTTTGTAGTGCAAAGGCAAAGAAACAGGTGCATGTAGTCATCAGTAAGCTACAGGGGTACTGAGGGAGCACTAGGCCAAAAGCCCCATTGGAATTAGGCACTACCCAGCAACCACTTAACTATGTGACTAGAGAAAACCACTGGAATTTCTGGGACTGTTTTCTCATATAACAGCGACAGTGTTGACACAGTTTGGAAAATATCCATGTACGTATTAGAGCTTTAAGATTTTGTTGGGAGGGAGGGATACAGGGGAAGACACAGCACATATAAAGGAAAGGCCTGGCAGAGAAAGCCTTTCATTTTCTGTCACCAACGGCAGTGCTGGAAGCTACATGGCCAACCACAGGTTCGGATCTCCAGCCTGGTCAACCTGAAAGATTCCAGGCATATACACACAAACTCAAGATCCTAACAAGCTAGAAAGATAGGGAAACTGGATCATTGCATGAGATCCTGTTGGAAATGCTTGCCCCCCCTTCTTTCTCATTTGTGCATACACATGCTATCATGAGTAAAACAAACATTAAAAAAAAAACAAAGTGAATCCAACTCTCTTCTGTTGTATAGACCAGGATTCTATATAATATGGGGGAAAAAAACGGCTCTACTGCTAAAAAAGGGAAAATAACAAGTGAACCAAACAGCATTCCATCTGATATTTTAGTCTTTTCCCCATTAATCCAATTTTTTCATTTACTTCTACTTCAGGACACATATTAGCAAATGCCATAGTCATTCTTTCAACATACACAGGAGGCATATCAGGTGTAAGTGCTATGGTGGGTACTCTGAGGACAAGAACCAGCTTTTCAAGTCATCTGAGCGCAAAATAAGAAAAAATAATCAAAGAGCAAATCTAAAGGCCAAACCTACAATTTATGTGTCTTCTAAAGTCTCTGAGTTATCTTCATGGAGTTACTGGTGCAGAAATGAATAAATTAGCTATATCCAAACACTCATTCTGCTATCTTAATGATGTGCAGAACAGTGAGAAAACAGTGACCAAGAGCAGAAGTGATGAATCATAATGATATAAATGCTTACTTTGCAGACCAATGAAAAATTCTGCAAACATCTTATAGGCAGTGTGGGATCCTTGCCAACCATGGTCAAAACCAGCCCCACCCAATTTCTCTCCCTAAAATCAACACTATGAGACAAGATCTATGAGCATCACTTACATTCTTTCAGTCTCCTACTCCTCAATTAAATGGGAAAGATTCAGCCAACAAAGTTCATGACGACGAGGTGAAGGATGGTGCTGGCAAAGAGAAAATCAGCAAAGGCTCGCTCTGGAGAGATGCCTTGGAAATCCGCCTTGTTCTGTGGGTTGATTTGTATTCTCAGGCAAACTGTACAAAAAGCAAAACGCAAAAATGATTATCTAGAAGTATAAAGAAGTATGACTGCTAATGAACATACATAAACCCTATAACCCAACAATTCTACTCTAACAGAAAGGAGTGCATGTGAGACTCAAAAGGCATGTGTGGAAATGATCCCCATGAAGGCACCAAACTAGAAACTATCTAAATGTCTATCAACAGTAAAACAGATAAATCATGGCATATTTCCAAAAAAAAAAAACTAGATGGCAATAAAAAAAGAACTGCTATACACAAAATGGATGAATGTCACAAATATGTTGAGCAACATAGTTCAGATATAATAAGTACATGATTGTACAAAGTTTTAAACTAGGTAAAATCAATCTATTATAGTACAAGTCAGGATAGCAGTTTTTCTTTCTTTTTTAATAATTATTTTAACTTTATTTATTATTATTATTAATTATATTTCAATTGGACCAGAGAGAAAGGAAAAGTGAGAAAAGAAGCCACCAGGTCCAGGACTTGAACCGTGGTCAGCCATGTGGGAGTACATTACCCTTAACTACCATACCACCTGCTGGCCCCCGTGGTTTTTCTTTAATAAGGGGAAGAGTGACTGGAAAGATGAAAGGAGGCTTCTGGGGTGCTGGTAATGTTCCATGTCATGACCTAGGTGGTAATTAGTTGGGTGAATTTAAAAATTCATCAAGTTGGGACCAGCAGTTGACATAATGGCCATGTCCCTGGACTCCCATGTAGCTGACCGTGGTTCAAGTCCCAGACCCAGTGGCTTAAACTCACATCAAATATGTGTGTGCCCAAGATCCCGAAAGGAGAAAGGGGGAGAAGGGACTGCGGCATGGCCATCCCTGCTGGGGGGTGATTTCTCACTTTCTGTCTCTCTGTTTCTCTTTCTGGCAAGCGCACATGCCCTGTAGCAAAAACCTCTTTAAAAAATTTCATCACGTCGTACACTTAAGTTTTGTGCTCCCAGCTGTTAAAGGAAAGCCAAAGGAAGAAAGTTCTTCTCTTAGTTATACTAAAAACCAAAAGCTTATTCAGAGGAAAAAATAATCCAAAAAGTCCTCAGAGCTCTCTTATCTCCTGACTTAAAGGTGTCTAAAACTACCAGGAGAGGGGGAATGTGCTTGAGGCGGTAATAAGGGGCTAGGCTGAGTGATAAAAAGTGATAAAAACATAATTGCTTTATAATACACTATAAATAATGGATGGTTGAGATTACATGTATAACATGCTTATCCACCAGGACCTCAGAGTTGTAAATTATCTTTAATCTCAAAGTTCCAGCAGTTGCTCTTTTCAAAAAAGAGCAGGAGACCGAGACCAAAGCTATATAACGTTTAACAGAACTCTCCACTGCCACTTTCAATACCCTTGAAGATTCTAACCTGATATAGTAGCAACAGTCTCCACTGATATGAAAAGGAAGCTCTAGGAGTACACTTTTCCAAAATATCTTTATGTCTGTAATAAATTATTACATCACTTTAAAAAACTCAAATTTGCTGCAGGCTAGCATCTACTCCATCACTAACGAAGGCAACAAATTCTGAAAGGTCAGAAAACTACCAGTTGAGTTCTCTAGAGTCCATCACCATGGCAACAGTTTTCATTATACTTAAGCATATAAACACATGGACATAAGACTGATCTTTTCAGGCATCCAGATCCTTCAAAACATGAAGGACACTGACTGAAGCAAGGGCAACCAATTAAAATCCTGCTGTGGAAAGTATAGATTGGTCCATCCACTTGGGAGAGTAACTGACAATATCCATTAGTATTTTTAATGTTTCTGCCTTTTGACTAAGGAATTTATCTCATAGAACAAAGACATTCTAACAGCATGTTTGTAAAAATTTTAAAAAATGGATATAGTTCAAATTTCCTCAAGGGGATTAGTTAAATTACACTATAAACAGAGAAATCCCTTGCAAGCATTCAAAATAAATTCTCTATATATTAACAATAAAGAGGCCTCCTATGAAAAGATAAAAGTGAAAAAATCCCCTCAAAATTATTTTATTTCACATTCCTCATTTTAAAATATTTGTGTGTATGTGTGTGATGACATATGTAATTATCTTGTCATTTGTTTTAGTTGGAATCTAGAAAAACAATCTGGAGAAATAGATACCAAGCTATTAACAATGGTAACTGGGATGGTGAAAAGACAGTAGAGTGTTCAAGGAAATATGAAGGAACAAAGAAAACACTCTCCATGAAGGGGGATAAGGCAACACACTGATGCTATAGTTACCATGTTCACACCACAGAGAAGGAAAACACCTTAGAGGCCATTAAGACCAACACCCCATCTGGAATACAAAATGCCCAGAATAGTAGTAAGGTGTGGACATACTGGGGAAGGCTTTATAAACCACCTGGAACCACTCCCAAGTATACTTACCTGATCAGCCCCCCACCCCCACTGCCCAAGGAGAATTACAAACCTTCCAGAGCCTGGGTCACTGGTAAGGGTGTCACATGGCGCAGATGCATTAGGGACAAAAAAGGCAAAATAATGCCTATTCCAAAATGTCCCTCCATTCTCAAAATATTCCTTCAGTCTCTCCCTGTGCACTTTCAAAGATGGAAATTGACCACCTCTTGAGGCAGTCTGTTCCAGTTTAGCAGTTCTAATTTAATCTATCTCCTTATATTTTCATTCATTTAACAAAATACTTACTAAGAATCTACTATATGCCATGCATCATTCTAGGTGCTGAGAACACATAGAACAAGACAGACAAGGGTCTAGTTCCCAAGGAACTTACATTCCTATGGAGAAAAACATACGATAAATAAGTAAATAAAGAAATATTGGGTAGTGATAGTGCTATAAAAAAGTCTATTATTTTATTTTAATAAAAAAGAGTTAACTGAGAAGCTATTTTTAATTCAATGATCACAGGAGGCCTCTTTGAGAAGGTGCTATTAAAAACCAACTTTTGAAAGATAAAGCAACAACCATATAAAAATACAGGAATAGAGTATCCCAGATGGTAAGAATAATCTTGACATGTTCCACGTATAACAAGGTCAGATAAACCAGACTATGATGATTAAAGGTCAGATAAAGGCCAAATCTTGGGGGGGGTTAGTTCTAAGTGCAATAGAACAGTACTTCAGAGTTTGGAACAGGTGAGTCAAAGTCTTGATTTACATGTTTTAAGGTTGCTAGAACAGTAACACTGAAAAATGGTTTGCAGGGTGAAAGAACAAACAGCAACTGCCCAGGAGCTGAAGTAAAAGGCCATAGCAGTAAAAATGGGCAGAACTGAAGAAATAGAGGCTATATTTTGGAGAGGGCAGAGTATACTGATGAAATGGGCATGGGAGATAAGAGAAATAAAAAGGCCAGGGGAACCTCCTAAATTTTTGGCTTCAACAACTCAACCAATGTTGACATCATACACTGACTGGTGATAGGGGAGAAGGCAAGGCAGAAAGGCTCAATTGGGGACATGTTAAGTATCTGAAGGTACATATCAGATATCAAGTGGAGATGTCAAGGTGACAACTGGATTGATTCATTCAGAATTCTGAGGACAGTCAAACTAAAAATAGAATATGGTAGTTACAGGTATATAGATGTCATGTAAATTCACATACAAAGTGAAGGGATCTAGAACCATGCTCTCTGCGAGGCACCCAGCACAAACAGCAGGAAGGAAAACCCAATAAAACAAGAAGAGATAAAGCAGGAGAGTTGCCACCATGGCTTCGAGAAGAAGGTATTTCAAGCAGAAAGTAGCAGCCCACTATGTTAAATGCTGAACGGTGGGTCCAGACCAGGCGCAGTGGTAAAATTCGACACTCTGCAAGGCAATTCCTCAAAGGAAGGTTTCTGAATCAAGTCCAAAGACCTCCTTGGGTATATCAGGTATCTGCCTATGACCCAGAGTTGCTGAAAGCTAGGAATGAACCACAGTGTGAAGACCCTGTTAGAGATGCTATGTATGTCCCTCTCTGTGTTTCTCTTGCTCATGGAAGAAATAAGTAATCACTTTTTTAATTCAAAAAAAGAATCGTTAAATGTTGCTGAGCAGTAAGGTAAGGTGAGACAGAAGACCATTAAGTTTTTGTTTGTTTGTTTGTTTGTTTTTAAGAGGTTTTTGCTACAGGGTGCATGGGCTCGCCAGAAAGACAGAGAGACAGAAAGTGAGAAATCACCCCCCGGGGGGATGGCCACATAGCAATCCCTTCTCCTCCATTCTCCTCTCGAGATCACGCGTGCACACACACCTGGCATGAATTTAAGCCACCGGGTCCAGGACTCAAACCGCAGTCAGCTACATGGGAGTCCAGCAACATAGCCAATATGCTAACTGCTGGTCCCGAAGACCACTAAGTTTAACAACATGATGAGAGTAGACACCACCACTAAGAGTGGGTTATGGAGTGAATGCAAAGTGAGAAAAAAGAAACAGTAACTATTCTTTCAAAAAATTCTGTCATGATGAAGAAATGGGATGGGAGCTAGAGAAATATCTGGGTCAGACGGACTGTTTTTAACTGGACAATATTAAAGGATGTTTTTATGACAGGAATGATCCAGTAGAGAGAAATTAATGATGCAGAATAGAGGAATAATTGCAGAAGCTGAGCCCCTGAGTGAGCAAGAGAAGACAGTCCTCTGCCCAAGTGAAGGAGTTGGGTTTTGGCAGAAAAGGGACACATTATTCATAAGAGAAATATCCACGTTATAGTGGTAAGTAAATCAGAGAATATAGGTATAGGAAGAGGTAGGTTGCTATGATTCGGTGGTGAGAAGACAAAAGGATTCCTGTCTACTTCTATTTATTCATTGAAAACAATAAAAGTGAGATCATCAATTGAGAAAAAGGAAACTAAACTATAGAGAATAAAGTTATGAAGCATATTTGGGGACGATAATAGGGGAGCATTGCACAAGAACACTGGGCAGGTTGGATACCCACTGTGTTTTTATCTCGCTAATAATTCTCTATCACCACAATATCTGAGAGTGATAATTC